CATTTTTTTTTTTTTCAGTAACTGACAAACTGATTCTAAAAATACACATGGAAATGCAAAGGGTATAGAACAGCTAAATCAAGTTTGGAAGAGAACGAAGTTAGAGAACTAAAACTTGCTGATTTCAAGACTTATTACAAAGCTACGGTAATCAAAACAGTGTGGTACAGGCATAAGATAAACAGATTGAAGGAACAGAATACAAAGTCCAGAAATAGGCCCACATATAAAAAGTCAACTGATTTCTGACAAAGGTGCAAAGGCAATTCAGTAGAGAAAGGCTAGTCTCTTTTTCAACAAATAGTGCTAGAACAGTTAGATGGCCATATGCAAAAAAAAAAAAAGAACTTCAATCCATACCTTCACCATATAAAAATTAATTCAAAATAGAAGACAACTCAGCAATAAATATAAAGGAATTAATTATTGATACATGCATGGATGAAACTCAAAACAGTTATGCTAAATTAAGGAAGCCAAACCAAAAAAGAAGAGTACATAGGGTAGTATTTCATTTATATAAATATCTAGAACTTTAAAATAATGTATGATTACAGAAAGCAAATGAGTGGTTTGTTGAAGATGGCAGAGGGTGGAGGATATAGACAGGGATCACAAAGAGTCACAAAGAACCTTCTGCCTAAAATGACACTGATCACTCTCCTGATTGTGATTATGGTTTCATAGTATATACGTATGTCAAAACTAATCAAATTACATACTTTAAGTATGTACAGTTTATTTTTTATAAATTATACCTCAATAAAGCTATTTTTAAAAAGCAGAGAAATTATTGGGTAGACCTGAAAGAGACCATCTCAGGTTGTAAGCCTGATATAAACTGACAATGATAGACCATATGTATAATTTACCTCAGATTTCCCTCATAAGATAGAGTAAAGCTAATTGTGTACTTGAGGTTAACATACTGAGCTATAGCTGTGATGGTGAGTGAACAAGACATAACATCAGAGAAAAGGTAGTTGCCAGGAAAGGCAAGAATCCACAGGCATAATTTTGGTGGAGAAATTCTCCTCTCAGACTCTTTTATTTATGGTAGTGACAATACATAAGAAATCTATTGACTGTTAACTGGCATGAGGAACTTATCCAGGGAATCTGCCATGTTCCAGCTAGTTTCTGAGGGAAAGCACTGGATCTTTAATCTCTGCATGTGCCTTTGGCCTGGCACATAAGACACCCAATTAATATATGCTAAAGAAATAGACAAATGAACTAATTCCATGATGGAAAGAAATTCTTTTTAATAGATGAAAAGCTTACTGCTTTTTTCATTAGCTTACTTGAGTGCAAGGAAATTAAGTCAATAACACAATTTTCTCAGTGGATCTAAATAATGAACATTGACTACACTTTGGAAAAACAATATTTGGTAATTTCCAGATGTAACGATCACCTACACCAAAATATCTCTGCTACCAATTAAAATCATAGGTCTTATTCTGGCTATCTGAAACATTTAAAATCATCAAAATGAAATTTAATGGTGAATTCTGTCTTGTAGACACCAAGAGTGTCACTATTAAATTTCTTTTTTTCAGAGTATGTTTGGAGTGTCTGTCTAATTGGGGGATGGGGGAAGAAGCAAAATCTCAAACATATATTTATTTTGATATGAGTTAATGCATCATTTATTTTCTAAGTTTTCAAAAGTCTGATTTGTTTGGCTTGGATGGTGTAAATAGGATAGAGACACTGTAGATAAAAAATGTCATGCAGGAATGATTGAAAAAAATCTTACCTGAATTATCTATTTCCTCTTTAAAATATGTAGAATAACAGCATATTTCTTATGTAGGGAATACACTTATTACTGCTTGATTTTTAAAATATAATTTTCATTACTGTTTCTTTCCTTTAACCGAGGAAATATATATTTACTGAAATATATTTTTCCATTAGGTATAAATGAGAATTTAAGCATAATCAAAGTTTAAGACCGAATTCTTCGGCCTGGCACTTTCAGCCCTCTGTATCCTGGGCCGGCCTAACCTTTGTCCCGCTCACTGGTGCTGGCGCTTGGGCACCCTGCTTGGTCTACTCCTACAGGCACGTGCCACTCTGTCTCCCACATAGCATTCCTTCCCTCGCTCAGCCCTCTCTCTTGTCCTGTGCATCCAAATCCTACCACCTACGGGCAATGCTGAAGACTAGAGAGCCTGAAAAGTTCCTGAAACTTGACCACGTGTTCTAGATCTAGAATAAACTTTTATTTGGTCCGAGATATGTTTTCCAATATTTTTTTCTGCTGCTTCACTTCACTTTTCCTCTCCTTAGGTTTTTATGTCTCCTGACTCCTTTACTTTTCATCTTCCTCCCGATTTTGATTTTCTTTTCATAGTCTTTTCCCAAGCTCTCGTAATTGGAAAAAGTATTTACAGGAACACTATGAAGTAATAGAGTATCTGTTAAACGTTCTGGTCTACGAGACAGGGAATATAAACCTCGACCAAATGTTCTGATGATACATTTGTTGTAATTCTAAGGATAATTCTAAAGTGTCATTTGAGCCAGGTCACAACTATCTTTTGGGCATAATAATCCAAATTTATAAGACAATTTTTATAAAGATGAAAATGGTCATGAAGTAATTTTTAGTAAAAGATATGGAGATCAGGACCAAAATAACTTTTGAAATTTTCTGAAGTAATTCTGAAAGGAATTTCAGAGTGGCATATGCCTCCAAAAATGGCAAAAGATAGGCTGTTTACTACCCTAAGGGCATCTCCTGGTTTTACACCATCATGCTTTCCTCTTTCTTACTCCCTTATATTTTACAATTCAGTGTCAACTAAAAATATTTACTGAACATTTACCATGTACCAGGAACTGTACTAAGTGCTAAGGATACACTGGAAAGCAAAGCAGAAAATCATTTCTGTCCTCATGGAGCTGAAGGTCAGTGGGGAGAGAGAAACATAAAGCAGATATACAAATGACTATATAATTGGAAATTGTGGTAAATACTAAGACGGATAAGAAAAACGTGTTATGTGAGAGAATAATAGTGAGACATAATAATTTAGGTAAGTGCTACTGGTCACAAAAGGCCTCTATATGGAAATGACACTTAAGCTGAGACCTGAAGGTTGAATAGTAAGAATTAACAAGGCCTTTCATTTTTCTTTTCTTCCATGTTTCCTCTTCTACCCTGAAATGTAGGCTCGTGATTAAAGAAAGTTCTTCTGGAAGTGAAAGAGTAACTTACTTAAAAGGAGAAGAGGTATTCGTGATCTCCTGAGAGACTGAAGTAGCATGTTGTAATGTTTTCTAAGCACGATTATCTTTATTTTTGCATTTATCTTTTCTATTTCTTGGCTTTGTCTTACTCTCTTATAGACCGTCATGATTATTATACTCTTATAATTTAAGCAATACAGTTCTTTTATGAATCTTTTATTGTATGATAAATCAGCATAGGTGGGATGATAGAAAGAAATGTGCTATTAAATTCTGGCAGAACAACCTGACTCAATCTACAGTCCAATAAAGAAAAAAATATGCATGATAAAAATGTGAAACATCACCTGAAATTCTTCATGATTCTGGGCATAAAAAACTCATATTAAGGGAGTTAAATTATGTGGATCAGCATATAAAAAGTAGAAGGGGCAATTTAATACTTTAGTCTTAACATTAAAATGAAAAGTTCATTTCACTTACCTTCTTTGTTATTTTTATTTCTTTGCCTGGTGCGGATTCACTATCTTCCAGGATTTCTGAAGAACTGCTCTTTGCATGATCAGACATGTTTCCTATAATAGAATATATTTAGAAATTTTTTTTCTAACCGATGAGAAAAAGTCCTAATGCTTTCAGAGAAACTCTATCAACCCTGAATTATGAGGTAATACTAAAAGAGTGTACCACTGGAATAGTGGACAAAGTCTACACTGCTTATTTCCTGAAAAGCTGAGTTAAGGCAAAAAGCCCAGAATGGCCTGACCGATAAAGTCAATGACCAGTATCCAAATGTAGCTACAAAGGTAACAGTAAATGTTAGGGAAGACTTCTGTAAAACATAAATTACGTTTTTAAAAATTAGCCTAGTTATAATTAAATTCTTTTTACTCAAGTGGACATTATTTTTTTGCATTCCCAATAATCCATATGTTATGTAGTTGAATAATGACTTTTAAAGTATATGCATGAGGCATACACATTCTTTTATATTATCAACTACTTAAATCTCACATTTAACTTCTTTTTAACACTTTAGGCTATATATTAAGAATGCTTAGAGATGATAAATATTTTAACATTTTTCTTGAAAATACTCTAAAACTTATTACACTTTCTACAGAAGTTGGAAGGGAAAAGGTATTAGGGGAAATATTCCTTCAATGCTTAAGTTCATATCAAATATCTACTATTATGACAGTTATTTTTAATGAGTACACAGTAAAAAGCACACTGATGTTATGTGATGGTGTGGAAACATAAAATAGGGGTCGTAAAACAAAAATACAAATAATTTTGGTGTGGATATGTAGGTCTCAAAGGCGATCACAGTCTCTATGTTCCATGGCATCAGCAGCTAGGCCTGGGAAAAGATTCCTCTTAAATGTTCATGTAAGATCAAAGACTCAGGTCTTGGCTCTAGGGGAATTAACTAGATGGCCTGCTGTGGCTCTAGGCCAGCTTGGTCAACAGCAATGGGGTCCGGCAGTGCTCACCAGAGATACAAATCAAAATTTGGGGCAAAAGCTCAACTTAATACTACTGATTAAAAAGAAAAAAAAAAAAGGTAGTAAAAAGGCTGTCCTAAACCACTTGACACTGACACATGAACAACTAGGAGTGATATGAATATTTTTATGTGAAGGAGCTATGGTGGTTATGAATGAGAACAACTAAGCCTATGTCACATATTTCATAGCTTGTTATGAGGGCGACATGACAGTAAAAAGTATAAAATAGAATACATGTGTGTAAGCTATAATTACTCAGCATGGCACATATATGCATAAAAATGTGCGTGTACATATGTATGTATGTTATGTACCTAGTCTTTTTAAAAATATACTTCTGAAGTTAAATGTGCTCACACCTTTTGGATTTTCATTGTATTCACAAATGGCCCGTTCCTCTTGGTTGTTTTTTTTGTCCTATAAACAATCAAGAAACAATATAATAAACATATTTGTGCTGTGCTAGAAAACCTAGTCTTGCTTTTTAAGCAGGGTTTCAGTCAGCCTCTAGCTAACAACATAAACATGTGACAATTACTTCATTTTGCTGGGCTCTTGCCTTAGATGCTGAGTGATTGCTAATGTCACTCCTAGCTTGAAAGTATATGATAAAAAAAATTGTATGCTTTAAAAATTTACTAAAAGAAGATTTAGGAACATTAATCAATATATGAATTAGCTCAGCATTTTATAATGTCAAATTGGAGTTTAATAAATTCTACATTAAAAAATGTTAGGGACCATCCTAAGTAGAACTCATATTCTTTATAAAAAGAATTGTTCCCTCCCTCTGAAAATAAATAATTAACTGCCAACACATTTTTTTTCCTCAGTAAGAGGAAAGAATCTTGGAGAAAGAAGGAATCAAGAAAGAGAATGACCTTTATGGCACAATACCATTTTGTAAATTAAAAATACATGCACAAAAATGACAATACCTGTTTTACAAGTACACATTCAAATAGAAGGCCGAGCATGTTTCAATGGTTGTCTATGATAGGAAGAAGAGGAATGGGGCTACTAAGAGAAGATCAGTTTAAATAGAGGGAGAGGAGCCTTGACCAGACCAATGATGATAGTGTTTCATCAATGAGAAGGCATTATTAACTCAGTGTTCTGCATAAGAGGTCGGAAAATGAAAATAAGTGAATCAATACAGTGTCCTTCAGTTTGGGTTTTTGAATTCCATACCTCTGAAATTAATCCAGGGTAGTACTAGCAAATGAATGATTTAAAACCTACCAATTATCTCCTAGCAAAACTGCCAAATGGAAGAGATGCTTTTGGCACCCCTAGCTCCACTTTCAGGATGGCTTTTTCTTCCTCAGTGATACCTCCTCCTATTCCTCCTATAAATACTTCCTTCTAGACTGCATCTCTGCAGAACTGATCACAATCTCAAATACTGCTGTGAACAATTTTCATTTGTACCTATACATGTAAATACACACATGTATGTGGACACACACACATTCCATTTCTGCCACCACCAGTATAGGGCTCCTAACTTTGTAATTTCATCATTTCAAGGACCCAGTGGTGAACTTCATTGTTAATTTCTCAACAGTATACTATACTGGCCCATATCAGTTAATTTCTATTCATGCATTGAATAGAATGCTACCAAGAGGTATAGAATGAGGGCTAGAAACAAAGTGTGCCTCATTCATAAATTTGCCAAAGCTTTTCCTATAGCACGCAAAGTTGTTCATGGAAGTATTTCTGATCCCGAAGAAAGTTGAAATCTACCCTCTTCAGAGACCAGGGAACCCATATGCTTTCTCTTAGGCAGGATCTTAAATTTAAGCACATATCATCATACCTTTTCAATGGTTGTTAATACCTTTTCACCTGAGTTGTCACTGGTTTCACTGTTGCCATCTGCAGGAACATTTTTATTGTCTTCCACAGCTTGCTTCTCGCCTTCCAGATATTCATCAATTTCCTCATCCTTGTCTTCTGGTTCTTCAATTTCTGAAAGTTTGTGATCCTATGACGAAATTGATAATCAAGGAAGAGTTAGGTTTTCTTTTTAAGAGATTTGATATTGCTATCATAAATAATTTATACTGTCTCAAAGAACACACAGATATGAATTCAAATACTGAAGTCAAAGAAATAAAATACTGTAAAACCCATGCTACATGTCAAGTTAACATGTTACCAAGGATTTTGTGCATGCTGCTCTATTTCATTTTTAATGACTTAGATTCCTAAAATTTTATTAGCACCCATATAAAGGCTAAAATAGAAAAAAATGCTTTCAGGGCTGTCTCAAAAGAATGCTTTTAAACTAGAGAAGTTAAAAAGCTTTCTTTCTATTGTCACATTATAACACAATCGTACCTATCTATATATTCATTATGTTCATTTTCCAAAACATAGGGATTTAAAATCACTTCAGAAGTACAATTCACTGAGAGGTAAGCACAATTACTTACATTCCAGGAAAAAGATAAAAGGACATAGGCAGTTTAAATGGTTTGCTCTTAGTTATTTATAGCAGAGGGAAAACCAAACCGAGTCCATCTGACTCCTGTCCAGCTACCCCAAATTATAACATGGCCCATCTATGGATTTGACAGGCTGAGAGTAAATCATGTGATGCTTATTAAGTATAGGCAGAAAACATTAGTTTTATCATAAATTCTATATTGAGATTTTTTTTTTTTGCAATTTTATATTTGGGGTGGAATACTGCTTATTTATATCATTAAGGGATTAGATTCCTTATTGGATATTGTCCTATACTTTTCATTTATGCCCTTCACTAAAGGTAAAATGATCCCTAGAATAGGTGAGGCAGTAGTAACCACCGCCTTGAAGAATGTTTTAAAAAGTTCACCTTGGCCCTATTTGCCTCAGACCATATATGTCCTTTATATTCCTTCAACACTGTAACTCCCTTCTTGTGGCCAAGTTCTCAGTGCTGTTTGGCTAAGGATAACCCTGACTCCCAACAGAATCTTTAGTGGGTGGTTTGAAAACAATGCCTCTAATAATTATCTCACCTTTCTTCTGGCAAAAAGAAAAATATGAGAGAGTTCAGGCTAGGGAGAGGATATGTTTATATTTCACACCTCAGTAACAGATTTGAGTGACATCCTCAAGTCAGTAGCACTAAGGGTGTGGCCTAATAGTGTTTCCACTGAAGACAAAGCAATCCAGAAGTGAAGCCTTGAGATTTAAAAAAAAGTTTCAGAAGTTACCCTGGGAGGGCTTCACATAGGTTAATTAAAAGGCACAAGGCAGTGCACTCAAAAGAGAACACAGGAGCGGGGAACAGGGTACCAGGATAGACATGCTTAGGTTGGGTAGAGTTAACTACAAGGTAGCTACTGTTTACCAAGAACTTCTAAGGCTTTCTTTTTTCCTACATGATTTCTCCTCTAAGTGTCTTATATTATATATTAGGCCTAGCCAGGTATACATTATGGGTGGCTAAAATGAATAGAGACAGCTTGACTTTGGAAGGGAATGGAAAACAAAGATAACTAGATTTAAGACTTTTGGCTGAAAAATAGATATAGTCATAAATGTATATAAATGAGGGCCACTAGAAAGAAAAGTGCTCCTGACACAGAGAATTTCAGACTCTACCCTTCTATCTCCCAGAGGGAGGGTTAGTTAATTGTGTTCTGGCAAAGTCCTCATTCCTTGGAGAATTTGGCTAATCTAACACCTGGGTCAACTCCAATTGTACTAGTTAACTAACATATTAGTGTAACCATAGGCTATCATGATCTTATAAAAAGAAACATGGAATTTTACCTTATTTTAGAAATAAACAAAACACTTTTCTCTTTTATAATGAACAATAATTTTACTCATTAACTTTATAAAAATCTATAACAATGAAAAACTGTTGGAACTATATCATTTCCTAAATTTGAGAAAAGCTCTTAGAAAATGACATTTTCACTAGAAATCACATCATCAATCGTAGCACTTTGCACTTATTAGCACATTTAAAATCAATCTATACACATCTGCGCAACTACTTTAAATTACATATAGCACTTACCTTCAAAATGAAACAATTTAGGAGAGATTGGCAGAATACTGTCATTTTATAAAAGAAAGGATAAAGTTTAAATACATTTTTGTCACCAGAACCACTCCAAAGGCAGTCTGGAGTGGTCAGTGGAAATTCATCTTGTGTTAAGTGAATGGGCCCGAGTCCCACAAAAGGACCCTTGTTTCATTGGTCAGACACAGCACAGGGAGCTGCAGTCTTTGGTATGGCCCAGGGCACTGCTTTTTACATTTCTTATGGGAAATATCAAGAAACCAAATGTTACTCATGGGGTTTCAGTTTCTTTAAGAATACAATAGCATCGCATGCTTTATAAACTAGAGATTGCTATCGGAAGTATGCCTAGTGGTCACACTGGGATGGGGGATGGGAAATGGCTGGAAGAGAGTTGAAGGGGAGCTTCTAGGGAGCTGACACTGCTTTTCCTTGATCTGGAATGTTAACTATATGGGTGTGTGCAGCTTGTGGAATATACATTGAGCTATACATGTATGAAATATATACTTTCCTGTGCATGTATTAACTTTAAAAGTTTTTCTTTTAAGTTTTAAAAGAGGACTAAAAAGCATAAAATTTTATGATACAAGTCTGGATTTATGGCATGATTCAATGTCATATAGGGTAGAAAATGTTTTCCAAAAAGGCTAATAGAACATAAAACTTTATATCTAAGTCATATCAAGTGGGAAAGTCATATATTTTAATCTCAATTTCAAGGTTTCTTTAGGACAAGAAGAGTTAACACTTAAGTTCATGTTTTAATTACACTAGAAATCACTGAGGCAGGAGTAAAGAGTAGGAAGGGAATTAAATACAAAGACCTAAGCACTGCTTTTCAAGCCTTTCTCTATCAATCATGGCCTGAACAAGGTGCCTAATTAATGTACTTTACAGTGTATCTGTAAAATGGGAAAATGATATTAGCAATGCCTACCTTGGAGGGTTTGTATAAAGATTAAAAAGATTATTTACAGAGAAAATAACATGAGCAAACAGCATTTGTATGTAAATTGAGTGATTTTGTAAAGGCCTCTCCATAAAAAGTAAGATAAGATCCCTAGTGCACACTGAGGATTGTTGAAAACCAAGAAGCATGGATACATTTTGCCATAATGTCCCAGATCTTATCACTAAAAAATGGTTCATTTAAAATGTTCACTTTTGTTCAATGTAAAATCTCCCGATAGCAGATAAACTCACAAGTTCAAAGAATCACTGTATATACCAAAGTAAATCTGCAGGCCAGATTGTACCCATATGCTGCCAGTTGTGACTTCCCAATTGTTGGCTTCGAAAGACAGTACTTTATAATCTCTAAACTTTTCCTTCTATGTACCAATCCTTTACTTAATTCATAATCCTGTATTTTCGCCACCAAATACATTACAGTTTGACTCTGATGAGCAGCCCTGCAAAAATGAGCCTAATGCTCAGGGTACAGAATATCTTGCTGGTACACATTTTTACTCTCATTTTCACTTTCTTTTTTTTTATTTTCCACTTTTTTTTTTTTTTAGAAAATTTAGTTTCCTCTTTAGCTTAAACAAATGCATGATATACGATTACACTTTATGTGTGAATTATTTTTTAAGTATTTTAATTAAAAAAAAAACCATTAGGACACGGAGATAAATCTATGGTCCCTATGACAGCACTAACATCTAAAGTTTAGGCTAACCATGTGAGTGCAATCAGCCTTTCATCATGCTTCAAATGTTGAGGGGCAGTATTTGACCCATGTGTGGTTATCATTATTGTAATCTATTTCATGTCCACAGATCTATTCACATAAGCCAATTTTTTTGGGAGTTGTTATATTTAAACAAAAGTGAGGTTCATAGAGAAAAACTCATAGGATTCAGGAGGGTAGCACTCTACCTGACTTGATGTAATTAGAAAGGATAATTAGAGTGGTTCAGGTCACCATTTGCTGAGCACCTCCAACATGTTTCATGTTAACTAATTTAATTATCAAAAGACCACCCCCCTCCTTTACTAAAAGAGGGACAAATACTCAGAAAGGTTAAAAAAACAACAACAACTTTTCCAAGTGTCCAGAAGAGCTAATCAGGCAAGGGCTAAGATTTGAACTCAGGTCTACTGGACTTCAGAACCCATGCTCTTTCCCAACTCTGCTCAAATAAATTGAAGACCATAATGGCTGCCCTTAGAGTTCCCCGCTACCACTGATATTTAAAGCATTGCAGACTCTTCCATTTTGTGGATAGTCCATTTCAATAATATTCTATTCTTATATACCATTGTATATAGTAATAGTAACTAAACATTTAGGATTTTCTTTTCCCAGAGCACCAAAGTCTCTAGAATATACATCTCCCTTACTAAATTGAGAAATATTCTAGTAGCACTCTCTGTCTGATATTTTTCAAAGTCTAGTTCTGATTCTTTTTCTCTAAAAAGCAGACTTGCTGGAGATCACTCTTTGCTGGCAATGTGGGCTCTGCTTGGCTCTCCTCTGGGCCTCTCTGCAGCCCTCCGCCCCTCCTCTTCCTTGGTTTGGGCAGCACCTCTCTTTCCTAGTAAATGTTCCAACCTCGCCTCCTTCTCAGACTTCCCTTTCTCAACCTTCCCTTATCTACTGATGTTTCCCTGAATTTTGTCTTCAGTTCTCCTTCTGCATTATGAATGCTGCCTCTCATTCAACCCCACAGTTTTAACTACATATACGTGCTGGTGATACTCAGCAATCTCCCCTGAGTTCCAGACCCAGACATGTATCTGACTGCTGAGCATCTACTGGATCAACAAGCTCCAAGACATCTTCCAAACCTGCCTCTACTCCTTTGTTCTCAGCCCTGGTGAATGGCACTCTTTTTACCCAGTTCTGCAGGCCAGAAACAAGAAAAGCTTGGCCTTTTCCCTACCTCCAAGCTACATCTCTTTACTAAGGCCTCCAATTCTATCCCTAAACCTCCTTTGATAATATATACATACCAAACTCTCCATCTCCACTGTCCCAGTCCAGCTCCTCTGCAGTCTCTGCCTGCTCTACTATAACTGCCTCCTAACTGGCATCTCTGCCTCTGGTCCTGTTCCCTTACAATCCATCCTCCATGTTGCTGCCAGAATGATGTTATAGAAGCCCAAGTGTGATCATCTTACTCTTGTTGTTTAACATCTTTTACAAACACATAAGGTCCTTTGCCTCTCTGTCCAGGACCAACGAAACTCTAGGCTGCACTGACTCCAAAACACTCTCATGGCTGGAAAGCTGTTCTCTCCCTGCCCACTTGTGACTGATTAGGTTTTACGTTTCATGACTTCGTCATGTTTCACCACTGCTCCTTGGAAACCCTTTCCTAGCTGAAGTGCCACTCCTGAAGCACTCTACTGTACTTGTAAATTTTTCTGGTCAGCCCAAATAGCCAATAGTTCCTTGAGATCAGGAGCTATATCTTCCTTTCTGCATATCCGAGGCACAAAACCATTTTCTTCTTATTAAAGGATTGAATGGAGGAAAGCCATATATCTGTTTTCAGAACATATTTTTATCTTTGTGCAGTCCTAAGAACATGAGGGTATCAGGAAACAAAAGGGCATTGTTTACCAATAGTTAAGACAGAGTCACAGGAACTCCTTTCACCTGTCTGGTGTTCATTCAAGAAATCTATACCTACCTAATATCCCTGACAGGGAAGAGGGCCTCAGGAGGTTAATTGTAAGCAGCCCTCACTTCTTGAGATCCACCAGGTTTGGGGAAGCTTCTGTTCTCTTTTTGGTGCTTGGTATATAAATATTTGTTAAGTAAATAATATGTACCAAATATTAAGTTCTGTGTTAAGTACTGGGCATATAATACCACATTTAATTTTTACAATTGAAAGAATGAAGGAAGGAATTAGAGCGCCTTCCTCCATGGTAGCATTTTATTTTCAGTAAACATGTGTACAGCAAGTTTTATCTCTATAGTGAAATAATTACAAACATTTTAATTGCACTCACCTCATATGCTGCTTTTTAGCAGCAGCAGATCCTTTTGTGGTACTCCTTTGTAGCTTACCTTAAAGTATTGTTCTGCCAGAGTCCTCATTTGAAACTGTAACTCAATGGATTCTATATACACAACTCATACTTGCCTCAGAAATGATCACTGATACACTATAGTAAAAGCTTGATCAACCAGCAGATGGGAGCAATAAAGAAGGAACCAGTTATTCCAGTCTATTTAACCAAGTATTAATTCAGTTAATAAAATGACTAGGCCAGTGTTCTTTTGACCAGAACACTATGCCTGCATGGATTCCTGCTTCTAAAAGTGCACAAAAATTTTTTGGCCAGGGAAATATGAAGAAATGGGTAAGAAATGCTGTTAAAAAAATGGTTATCTAGATCAGTTCAAATATTGAGGTGGACACATTTTATGAATATCATTTCAGTATTGCTGATTATCACTTCAGTGGAAGATGAATGCCTATATCTTTAACATTAATAAATTGAGTTTAAGAGTCTCTCATATCCCTGAAGGTTCTTCCTTTATGAACTCTATTTCTGTCATCTATCTTATTTAATCATCTTAAGTCTATTTTTAAATAGCCATGCTTTTCACTAGAATTAACAACACAGCACATACATCTTTATCAAAGTATTAATTCTATTCTACTAACAATTAATGGATGTGACAGAATTTGGTAGAACCCTGCAATGCCAAGTCAGCACGTTGGTTAGTTAGGGGAGGCTACCAGAGATCCTTGCAGCTAAGACAAAATTTACAGTTGCTTCTAAGAATTTCTTCACTTCATATTCTAGTTTTTCTCCTCATATTCTTTCTCAAGGAGAATCAAATGTGCAGAGAATTCAACTACACAAAATTCACAGGAAGTTTACCATCAAAATCCTCCTTGATAAAAGAAAGTATAAGAAATCCCTCATGTCCAAGATATGGGAAGGAAATCAGTTGAAAAGGGAACTATGAATAAAGAACAATCAAACAAACTAGGTGCATTATATACCTTGAAAATGTTAAGGAAAGACTGAAATTACTCTAGTGGCAATCTAGCCTCTCTAAAATTCAATATCTAAGGTTAGTTTCTTTTTTCACAAACAATTACTGACTGTATACATTTAAGTTTTATTACTCTTGAAACATTCTGACAAACAACAAACAAAATTACAGAATAATCAATGAAGAATACATTGAGAATACATAACATACTGGAAATGAAGGCTCTGAGAGTACAGTTAAGCATGGAAATTATAAGAGTTTAGGAATACAGAATTACAGAAGGTGAGACATTAAGAGTCAGAAGTACAGTATATCATCTAATCCACTCCATTTTACAGATGAGGACACTGAGGTGCAATGTATAGCTTTGCCTGGCCGATAAATACTTAAAGTTTTACATAGTTCCAAATTACACATTTAACTTAATCTCTATTTCATTAGATATACTGCCATTTGCCTAGAAAGTAATTAAAAGAGATCACATTATTAAGATCTGAGCTCTGAATCCAACTATCACTTGGTAGATTTTTGCAAAAAGAACACATAAAAGATAGAAAAGACAGTACTATTTCTTTAAAATGTGAATTCCTCATGTTAGCTTTAGAATACCATTTGTTCTTATAAAATTATTCTATGTGGTAGGTAAACTAATCAGACTAAAAATAACTGTGCTAACATATTTATAAGAAATCAGATGTCTTTATAGCCCTTAAGGATCTGTGCCATTGTTGTATACACAAACAAAACACTCTTATAGTACGCTATTTCTTAAATCTGTCTTTAATGAGGAATATATAATATTAATTATCTGTTATGGTCTTTTGGTAATTTTTAGTTATAGTTTAATAATTCTGGGGAAAAATACACCAAGATATTAGTTTAAGAGGAGCCAAAATATGCCAGTGCCTTATACTGTCTTTATCAGTCATACTGTACCACAGGTGAAGTAACCATGACATAAAATCAATTTAATAAAATGTATTGAGTGCCTATTACATGTAATGTGATCAAATTTTTTGGATGGACATAATCAGGTTATATTTAAAGTTTGTTACTTCAGTTCCAAATAATGTGGCAATACATTATTCCAGAATTTTTTAGAACCTGGTGGTCCATTTTCTAAAGGCTGTTTTGACTGCACTGGCATTCTAAACCTCTGTACTTCATGCCCTTTCCCCTTTCCCTCTGTGTTAGTAATAAACTTTTTTTGACATGTTTTATCTTTCTCATATTTCACAGATCCTTTGATTTTGCTCACTTTTCTAGAGTCTTTTCCTTCATCCTGTCTTCCTAGCCTTTCACTCTCTTCATCTCCTGCCTCTCGGTATTTTCCCTCTTCTTCCTCATTTTCTCTACTCCTGTTTTCTTCCTCTTCCCTTTCTTCCCCATCTCCTTCCTCTCCTTCTCCCTCTTCCTCTTCTCCCTCCTCTCCTTCCTCTTCCTCCTCTCCTTCTCCTTCCTCCCTTTTCCCCTCCTCTTTCTCCCCCTCCCATTCCTCCCCTTCTTCCACT